TCGTCTTTCTCGAAGAAGAACGCCCGTCCTCCTCCCCGGAGCGTCCCGGGAGGGTCCTGGGTGCGCAACACTCCAGAACCCTTGCTGGTGTTGCCGAATGATGCCGTGGTGACTGACCGTCGGCGCGGGAGAAAAGGCAGGAGCGCTCACCGACCGGAGGAGGAGGCTCTCTCACTCGACGGGTCGGAGGCCGTAGACGGGACGGGACGACAGCACACCCGACGGGCTACCAATAATCCAGATGGTGTGTGCCTGACGGATCTGATAATCGGAATGTGGTGATTATGTCAGCACGGATGGTCTTGCATTTGAAAAAAAAATAAATGATGTATGGATGGCAGGCGGCGATAAGACAATTCTCGAAGTTTTGTGAATAATCGGAATAAGCTTCCTTGGAAAATGTTTGGCAGTGGCGACGGAACGACAATAGTAGCAATAGTAGCGGGATGGATGAAGTAATCGAGACAAAAGAGAATGCGACCTGATTATATTATCACGCCGGCCCCGATCCCGTTGGACTACTATATAAAAAGGCCGCAGCAAAACCACCAGCAGGCCAGACCTGCCTGCATGTAAGCTGCTTAGGCCCGTCCGAGTTCTGGTCTGGGGGAGGCAACGTTCCGTACGGGACGAAGAAGAAGAAAATTTCGAAGAAAACGAAATCCAAGCAAGCAAGTGAAGGTTAACTTTCGTTCGTTCATGGGTGTCCGAATCCGAACAGCCAGACAAGGACGCCGCGGGCAGGGCAAGCAGGCAGCGAGCAAGCAACTGATGGCAGCAAGCACTCACCTCAGAAAAGAAAAGAATTAATCCTCGAAAGCGGTCTAACAAGAAAGAGGTTATCCAGGGACCGAAGAAATGACAATATGATTCACATCTGCAGACGCCGCCGCCGCCGCAGCAGCAACAGTGCACAGCACGGCGGGTGGATATAGTCGGAGTTTGAAGGCACTTAAATCCCCGACGCACACTCTCTTGCACCCGATCCCGGATACAAAAAGCTGCCAGAACGGGCGGGCCTGTTGGATGGGGATTCCGTTGCTGGTTTTGGGCGCGGCCGGCACTTGCGACGTTGTTATAATTTAAGCATCAAGTTCCCAAAAAGCTTGTTCTCGTTCGATAGCTCGAGTATATAAGTAGTATACGTATGTCCTCTTTCAAATTGTATTTCGATTCGGTATATTTGCCGGCGACAGCGACTGGTCGCTTGGAGAATGGTTCAGCAGTACTTCGTAGAGAGACGTCTACCAATGGCCGACGAGAACTAGCGATTTCTCACATCGAGTTATAACGTTAGTTGGTGACCGCCCGTCGGAGCATAAGTATTTCCCTTAAGAGAACGAGCAGAAAGAAGAGAGCTCGAGGGGCTGGCGGGCTGGTCGATCTCGAATCCGGGCTGACTCACCAATCCGGGCTAACGCGAGGACACCCTTCCCTTGAACTTCTTAGGTCGTTCTTTCTTTCTTTTTCCGCTGGAACGAAATAACAATAGCAGCTTCGAATAATCAACGGAGCACGTTCGTTCGTTAGCTTGGGGGTAACGATGAAAGAGGAAGAGAACGGGCATGCAAGGACAAGGCGAGTGCGAGGAAGAGACAGGGACAGCGATAGTGAAGATGTACAGCCGCAGCAGAAGCATCGCCCGCGTCGACTGACTACATCGCCGCACCGTCGACAGGCATGCGCAGGTGGAATTGAAGATACAAAGCAGAACTGCACATCTGGATAAGCATCATGCCATCATGCAATGCATGGACCTCGGATGGAAACCAAAACGTCTGTCCCTCCCCTCAAAGCGGGCTGCGTTTTAAAAGGGGCGTGTTCTGTGCGCGCCCGGCCGCGTTGCGTATGTAAGCACGCAAGTTGGATGGAAGTTCGAAGTTATAGTGCACTGTGCAATAGTACACTCTGACTCGATGCCACAGATTGATAATCATATCAAGATGATCAGGAAAACCAGAGCAGGAGGGTATAATTACTTCTTGTCGGTACAGAGACAGCACAAATATAGCCCTCGTGTAGATTGATTGCTGGAATCCCTTGCGGTTGTCGGTGCCGAAATGCGCCGTGCGGCTACGCTGCTAGTGCAGAACTAAGCTTCCAGTCAGTTGACATTCTCCACGCCCGGCAGGCACGAGTGCTTCGTCGGCCAGAAGCGACGACGACGACGACACACGACGACACGACGACGGCGACGACATGCCACGGAAGGAGCTTACGTACGCAGTGGTTATACAGATCGGTTATTATCCTGCCAAGCCGGACTTGTAAAGAAATTGCAATATCAGACGAATATTGGATTTGGATATATTGAGAAATGGTCGTTCGATCTGATCAGAGGACACAGTTGCGTACGTCGTCGAGATCGCGAGTTTACTTACGTACGAGGCCTTCGAACTGGGTATAATATAGCATCGAATAAGCAAGGTAAAATCCAATCCAGCAGCTAGCAAATATAGTATACAGCTAGAGCTAACCGCTGGCATGGAAGATCAGCTCGACGAGAAATTTATCGATCGAATCGACCGAGAAGGCAAATGTGCGAAATGTCCCCATTGATGGAATATGACATTACCTGAGCATGCATTGCATTTAGATTTGACTTTGGAACGCCATCGAGCCTCGACCGACTAACCAGACTCTCTGCATGCAATTCGTCTGCAATTGATTCCCCCTCCGAGTCTAGCGTCGGCCCCGGCTTACAAATGGATGCAGCAGCAGTGCGGAGCAGGGACCAGCATCTAACGATATTGCTTCCCTTTTATCCCCCACAGCGGCACTTGAATTCACGAGTCTTATATTTTGCAGTGCCCAATTGACTCTGCTGTACGAAGTGCTTATCATACTGCAAGTATATCGTCCGGGCGTAATATAATAACCGGGCTGCGGTTCCAAGTACCGTCACGAAACAGTCTCTAACTACTACCCAGTACTTGTTATGAGTAGTAGGTGCTAACTTTCACAGAGGAAGCCCATATGCAGCAGTCACTGCATTGCTCCGTCGGTCGAACTTTCAGGGAACTTCAGGGAAGAAATCGGCCGAGCAGTTAGCAAGCGGTCCTAGCTCGTGGGGCCATTCGTTACATCCCCAGCTGCTTCACAACGTTATCTGCAGGATCTAGCTTAATTAGCCAAGAGTGATGCATCCTCCAGAATTCAAGCTCGTTTCGTCTAATCGATGTCCGCCACCGCGCTCATGTGCCCCATGCTCGCCAGCCTGGTGCATATGGTAGCAGCACTCTGGAAAATGTGCCCGATGGTAGGCGAGCTGCTGACATTTACAAAACGAGGCTATCGGCCGGAACGTGCACCCAGAACCGGTTCCGAAGTCCTGCAGGCATGCAGGCTGCTTATTCACCCACGCTGGCTGACGTACCAGTCGGCGGATGGTTTACGTAAGTAGCGTTCCGGAGAGGGCTCCACTTCGGAGAAGATACCGAGGCTGGCTGGCTGCATTGTCGTTTAACTTGCTCATGATCAGGATCCGTTTAATCTGATTGTTACTTTGTACTGTGGATGATACTTACTTCGTATGTATTTTACTTTTGTGGAGGGTATTTCTGGCGCGGTGCGTTTCAACGTTTTACGAGGACATCCGGCTAGCGTGGCTGCACACACCGAAATTAAGATTGCGAATTGAGCCTCTCGTCCATATGCATCCACACATCAGAATGCAGCATCCCCACCACCACCCGTGAAACGGTGAAACCCACGTCCATACATATCCTCAACCAGACACGTCCACGCACTGTAAAATGGCGTCAGCGACCTCCATGGCGGCCGTGCAGGAGATTATGAACGCGTCAACCGTCGCCCCGTCGCCGACGACGACGACGACACAACCTTCCAAGACGCCTTATCCCATCTTCTCGTCCTCGAAATCCGTATCCATCGCCGCCATCCCCACGACCGCCACGGTGCGCGGCTTCGCAGACAAAATCATCCTCACAATCTCCCAATCCGGTCGTCTGGCGCAGTGGTTCCAAGTACCCCTCGACGCCGCGCATCCAGCCTACCTTGAAGCGAAGAGCAGCACTCGCTCGGAGGACGACGACGCTGACGACAGTCTGCTCCCGCTCACGCATCTGACGCCAAAGTGCCTACTGGGCGCCAGCACACCGGAGCGACAGGCCCAGGGACAGTTGTATGCTGTGCAATTGGCCAGTTTGCTGGCGATGAGAAATATCAGGGAGACGCGCACCGTGCTCGTCGGGCTGGGCTTCGACGAGGCGGAGCATACGAGCGATGTGTTTATGGAGACGCTGCAGCTCGTCGGTAGTTGTCTGCCGTAGCTGGGTCTACGGATCCTTGACCCTCGGGATGAGACTGAAACTGTCATCCATCCTTACCAGGCTCATCGAATACATACTTCTATCCCTCGGTTGTCATGTTGGTAGGTATTTACATTTACTTGTACTATATGCATGCATGCATGAAGGATTGAACGGATGTATGTAAGCGGGGAGGGCCGCGTCGATCATATCGTAAAGATATTTCAACCAGGTCCTTGTCACTTCAAAGCCTCTGTACATTTGTACATTACACATGTAGTATTATATTGCACTTGTACGCCGTAATGCCACCCGAGCCAGTGCACCGGCGTCGCCGAAGGCTGCAGGCCCTTGGCGAGAGTGCAGCAATCCTGCAGATGACACACGATCATGAGGTCGCACACACTTTTTGTGAATGTTGTAACCTGGTGAGCCGACCAATTGCAACCAGTGAACCAACATGTACAGCCCAGATCTCTGGGTGTCGTCCGTCCGATGAAATTTAATGGACAAAACGGAAGGGAAAAACGAACCCGAAGCGGCCGCCAACCTGCATGAACCCGGCTGCTCCAGTCTTACATCAGCCCAACTTTGGCCTACTACCAACCTCGGTCCCTGCGGCTGGCTTTACAAGAAGTAGTGAATTCTCGTATCGATGTTACTTACGTCATCGAGGATATCAGTTGCTGGAGGGTTCATGGTACTATTTTCGAGGACGAAAGATAGGCTGCTGCTATGTCCGAGTGGTTAAGGAGTGAGACTTGAACGGTCCTCGTGGCTGCACATGCTATCTCATGGGTTCGCCCGCAGAGGTTCGATCCCTCTTGGCAGCGACTCTCTCTTTTTGCTTCCTTTTATCTTTTTATCTTTTTGTTTGCGTCCGTTTTGCTCCCTGGCATACATTTTAAAACGGAGGGTAATCTGCGGGCGGGCTGGCTTACATCCACGAGACTTGCAGGCACTCGCATGGCACTTTTCCTTTTGGCGTTCGCGGTCGCGGGGAGTGGCCAGTGGGGCCCGCGGGCTGCGCGGGGGCCGAGGTCTCGGAGTCTCGGTGAAAGCTTGAGCTCCAATCTTAAGCTTTGTGAACTGAACTGCTGTCTTGATCAATACAGATTGCAGGGAGCAGAAGTAAATTGGATGATGGCAGTGGAACGGCACGGTTATTTTTGGTATTATTAGGCCTCGAGGCGCCTGAGTTATATCTCGGCCTGGCCATTACGTGGACGTGCATGAGATCATGATCTTGTGAATCATCTTCCCTCATGGCCATTGCATCCATCCAGTCCATCCAGACATTCACCATCCGCCGTTCATTTCCTGGATGAAGGAAGCTTAAGCAATTCGAGCAGCCAACTGAGATGTGTTGCAAGGACAACGCAGAATGTCCTGGAGACGGGGTGTTTGTCGGTCAAACTCGACGAATCCGGCGCGATGAAGACTCACGTGAATTCCCATCTCGATGACTCGCGAGGCGTCGCGCGACGGACTGCCCCTCCCAGCAATTGCATTCGGACTGCGCAATTCTCGATTCGACGGCTTCAGCTACGCGGAGGATACAGGCGGCGATATAGTGCGATAGACAGTCGTTATGTCTCGCGCATCGGTCACGAAAGCAGCTGCGGTTGCGGATTCGGAGACCGAGGATGAGGATGAGGATGAGGATGATCTCGATATCACGCACGCTGTGTCGAAGCAGCTCAAGAAACCAGTGACGAAAGTCGCACCTACGACAGAAGAATTATCTGGTACTATTGCATATCCTGCTGTTGCTATTGATTAATCGATCGTGCCGCTAATATGTATCTTGCTTGAGTAGAGACTGCAACGGAAAGTGGCGACGACACTGATGATCTCGATAACGTCAAGGCCAAGCCGAAGCCTGTCGCACGGGCTAAAGCGAAACCCGCCGCTCTCAAGAAAGACCCCTCTGTCATTCTCATACCCTCCTCGCCGGAGATAGCTCCCGTCAAACCAACTGTGCCGCGGAAAAAGCTGCAGCAGAAAAAGGACATACTACCATCTTCGCCCAAGAAGCGTCGCAAGATCACTGCAGATGTTCCGGGCCGCACTTCGCCAATCCTAGATGAACAGGGCCTCACCGACGATGAAGAGCGCCGGAAGAAGAACCGTGACGAGAACCGCGTCCGGGTCCGTCTCGAAGGCGGTAAGGAGAAAGTTGTCATCACCGACGACGAAGACGACAATCCCTACCAGCGCTTCAAAGACTCCAAGAAACGAAAGCTCTCAAAACGAGGTAGAAAACCGAAAGCCGCAGCAAAAGGTGACCTCTCATCGTCGACCCCCCGCCCGCGGCCCACTCATAGCCAGCTTAGAGACCTGGCTATCGACAGGGAGAACGGGTTCCGGTCCGACGAAGACCCAGGCATCGACTGCCCGCTGCACCTCCTCCTCAAAAAACAGACTCTCGAAAAGGACCAGAAGGAGAAAAGCAAGCCTCTAGAATCCATCTACCGCTTCCCACCCGACTCCACCATCTTCTCCGACGACGACGACGACGAGCTCGAAGACCTCGAAGAAAAGCCGCAGTTCCCGGGTGCCTCACCCTGTCGCGACTACAAGGACATCATCCTCGACCGCTCCCGCGGCGTGATCCCCGCATCGATCGCCCAATGGCTGCGCGACTACCAGATCGATGGCGTCCGCTTCATGCATAACGCCTTCATCCTCAACACAGGCGTCATCCTCGGCGACGACATGGGTCTCGGCAAGACGGTGCAGGTCATCGCTTTCCTCACCGCCGCGTTCGGCAAGACTGGTGACGCGCGGGACGCACGACGGATGCGCAAGATGCGCGACGAGCGGCCGGGCGAGTGGTATCCCAAGGTGCTGATTATCTGTCCGGGGACGTTGATATCGAACTGGATGCGCGAGCTGGATACCTGGGGCTGGTGGCAGGTGTTCGCCTATCATGGGACGAAGCGGGCGAAGGAGGATGCGTTGACGGCTGCGCAGACGGGATATCTCGAGATCATGATTACGACCTACGATACCTACAGTTCGTCCTTGTATCAAACTTATGTGGTTGATTGACGTGATGCTGATGGTTGTGTAGGGAGGGACCAGGCGAAGATTAATATGATCGAGTGGGATGCTGTGGTGGCGGACGAGTGCCAGAAGGTGAAGGAGCGCAGGTCGGGCATCACGGAGGCGATGAACGTCGTCAATTCCCTCTGCAGGATCGGCCTGACCGGGACAGCCATCATGAACCACTACGGAGTGCGTCAATCATATATAGGTTATGAAGGACAGATGTTAATACTTCTCGGTAGGAACTCTGGAATTTGCTCAACTGGATACGGCCCGGCGAACTCGGCAGCTATCGCGACTGGCAAGAAGACATCGAGAACCCCCTGAAGATCGGACAAGCCCACGGCGCGACAAACGCAGAGCTCGCGCGGGCCCGAAACACAGCGAACGACCTCGTCAAGAACCTCCTGCCGCGGATGTTCCTCCGCCGCATGAAGTCGCTGATCGCGCACCAGATGCCGAAAAAGTCGGACCGAGTGGTATTCTGCAAGCTCGGCGTGTTGCAGCAGGAAGTGTACGAAAACTACCTCGAGAGCGACGTCGTCAATCTGGTCAAATACTCGACCGACCCGTGCGACTGCGGCTCGAAGAAGACGAGAGGCAAATGCTGCTACAAACGTCTCCCAGACGGCACGACGGTCTCCCAGGCTGTCTTCCCATGTATCACAAATATGAAGCTGCTGTGCAACCACCTCGCAAACTGGATCCCCAGAGACGGCGAGCCGCTCGAGAAACAAGAAAAGGACATCGAGAAGCTCCAAATCGGCCTCCCGGACACCTGGGAGAAATACTACCGCCGCCAGCACTTCGAAAACGTGATGGACCCAGAATTCTGCGGCAAATGGCAAGTCCTCCAGAAACTCCTCGCCTTCTGGAAAGAGAACGACGACAACAGCAAGGTCCTCATCTTCTCCGAGAGCAAAAAGCTGCTGAAGATGCTGTACCTCCTGCTCAACAACACCCACTACAACATCTGCTACCTCGACGGCGAGATGCCGCTGGAAGACCGCACCGCCGCCGTCGAGAACTTCAACACGGACCCCACCCAATTCATCTTCCTAATCTCCACCCGCGCCGGCGGCGTCGGCCTGAACATCGTCTCCGCGAATAAAGTCGTCGTCTTCGACCCCTCCTGGAACCCGTCGCACGATCTACAAGCGCAAGACCGCGCATACCGCATCGGCCAGCGCCGCGACGTCGAGGTCTTCCGTCTCGTCTGCGCGGGCACCATCGAGGAAATCGTCTACGCCCGACAAATCTACAAACAGCAGCAAGCCAACATTGGCTACGAAGCCTCCTTCGAGCGCCGCTACTTCACCGGCGTGATGAAGGACTCCACGCGCCGCGGGGAGCTGTTCGGCCTTAAAAACCTGTTCACCTTCCACCAGGAGAACGTCGTGCTGCAGGAGATCGTGAACAAGACGAACGTCGCCGAATCGAAAACCGGAATCGCAATCCTCAGCCTGCCCGACGCCGATGGCCCCGGCGGCGACCCGTTCGACGACCCCACCGGCGGCGACGACGACGATATCATCAGTCAGATACAAGCTATGGTTAGCAGTCAAGACGATAACGCTACCTCCACCACCGCCGGTGCGGGTGGCGCGACGCGCAAGAATAAACTGGATCCTATACAAGCCATCCTCGCGTCCGCGGGGGTCGAGTACACCCATGAAAATACAGAGGTGATAGGCACTTCGAAGCTCGAGGAGAATATATCGCGGAAAGCCGTCGAGGCGAACGAAGATCCGACGATGCGTGCTATGACTGCGTTTCAAGAAGATGTGCGCGGCGATGCGAGGTTTCAGTATGGGAATGTGCCGACCGGAGTGCGTGTGCGGCAGTTTAATTCGCTGCGCAAGGCGTTCGGGTATAGCTTTGAGGAGAATGGGAGGTTTGCGCTTGAGGTTGAGGGTTGGCGGCCTGAGAAGCGGGCTCTTGCACTTGAGAAGGTGGGTTCTATTTCCTGTTTCCTTTGTTTCTTGATGGGGGGCTCGGCTGATGGGTTTAGTTTTATCGGTCGAGGAGACGGGTGTTGGCGGCGAGAGGAGAGATGGATGAGCGGGAGGTGGGGATGGAGCAGACGCCGAATCAGGTGATTACGATTGACGATACCGACGAAGAGGAGGAAGAGGATGTAGATGAGATGGAGGGGGAGGAATGAGTTATGATTGAATGGTTGAATGATCTTTCACATTTGGTAGATGTAGTAGGTTGCAGGCGTTTTGGTCAAGAAATGTAGCAGCATTTACGGCGTATATACTTACTCGGATTCGACATCAAATCACAATAGCAAATATATACCCCCTCCATGGGGTTTATGCGTAGGTCGGGTATCAACGTACAGCCAATATTATCACTACAACATCATATCCTCACCCTCCTCATTACTACCGCCGCTTCCACCAGTCTCCTCGCCATCATCACCATCATCATCACTCCCGTCCTCATCCGTGAGCGGGAGGAAGCGAAAGTCTATAAACGTCGGCGCGGAGCTCTTATCCGGCATCTCGATAAGATACTGCATGCTCAGCACGCCGGGCTCATCGCCGCGCAGGCTAACCTTACTAGCCACGCTCATGGCCTTCATCGCCTTTCTGATGAGTGCGAATTTATACCGATGCATGCTGTCGCTCGTCACGCTGAACGTCTCCATTATGTTTTTGTTGTTCGCGAGCTCGACCGTCGCTGACGAGAGGATGCCCGATGCCGAGAGGGAGAAGTGGGGTTTTTTGGAGGAGGATGTCGTCGTCGCGGTGTAGGTTAGCGTTTCGGGGGTTGT